AATCACTCCCCTTTGGACATGAGCTTAACCATCTTCTATTGGCAAAACCCATTTGTTAAGCTCCTAAACTTTTCCCAAATTCATCTATAAGCCCCTAAACTAATTTTAAAGAGTATAAACCCGCAAACTACTCGATTAGTGCGGATTAGCTCCCCAGTTAACAGCGCCAGCAGTAAGGCAGATGCCATCATGTAACACAAATATATTATATTAAAATTCATTAATGTATTCCTTTATGCCTATGATATGAATGAAATTAAATTGGGTTTATTGTTATCGAACTGGACGTTTGAGTCCATTAATCTGAATTAAATTAAAATTATTAATAACCGAAATAAGCAATTAAAGATAAAATTACAAATAAATTAAGGACTATTATGCATATTAGTCTCAATTTCCTTAATTTATTAAAACACTAACCTCAAATAATATTTTCAAAAATTAATTGTTAGATCAAATGCTTTTATTAATGTAAATAATGCATAATATTTTTTAGATTAATTAAATACATTTAACTAATTTTTTATTACATATAATTTAACATTGTTAAATATATATTAAAAATTATAGTTTATTGATTTAATGATTAGAGATGTTATATTAATTTTAAAATTAACATGCATAATTTATATCAATAAAACATTAAATCTAACAATTAGTCTTTAAAAATTATAATTCATTAGAAAAAGTTGTTTTTAAAGTTGAAATTCCTTTTTTTTATCAATTTAGTTTTAATTAGCATTGACTTTTAGTTTTTTTTTTTTTAATAAAAACATCAATTTAGTTTTAATTATGTACCTATAATTTTGTTTTGATTAAACACCAATAAATTTCTTTTGATACTATCATTAGTCTATTTTGAAAGTAACAAGTCTCCCATCAAAAAGGCATAGTACAAACTCATAGCGCTAGTATGATTGGCTTCTACATCTTCACGATAAGAGTTTAAAATTTTCTTTTCTCCTCATTTCCTTTTCTCACAGCTGGTTTAAACAATTTAGTTTAGTATATTGAAAAAAAAGAAAACTGAAAATTGCAATCGTCCAAAAGCCAACGAACTTGAAAGTGAAACCCATAAAAATGGAAACCTCACTAAACTATGCTTTTTTTGAATCACACCATCAAGAATGCAACTTGACTGGGTGGGTGTATAGGATATTTAACGGGTTTTCACTTTTCATTTTTAACTGCCATAAAATTAAAAAAAGAAAGGGAAAAGAAAAGAAAAGAAGACTTGAACAGGTTATTTTGAAAACAGGAAAAATAATTAGTACACATATCAATTTAATATATCTATTAACATCAATTGATTCTATTATTAAAATATGTAATTTTAAAATTTTTTATTTATAATTTAAATTTAAAAATAATAATTTTTAATAAATATGTTATAAAATATATTAAATTAGAGAGTGCAGTATTCATTATTCCAAAAACAAATTTAAAAGCTCTCAAACTTCTACAAAACATGTCCAAGAAAACGTTCAAAAAAAGGCAAAATTGAATCAATAGCGAATTTTGCAAGAAATAACCAAATTACAAAGGGAATATGTTGAATCAGAGGGATTGCAAGAAGGCATGCGCAAGATGGAGACTTCAGGAAAGGGCACACGCTCGTCATCCCCTAGGGGTTTTTGCACTTCAAAATTAGTGTAGGGGCTTCTTCGTGAATTTGGGAAAAATTCAGAGGCTCAGACTTCAATATTCGGATAAACTAAAAATTGATTATTAAATATCTAGCAAACATGTTTTTATTGGTTAAGAAGAAATTAAGATTAATAAATAGAATACAAAGAATATATACTTAAAATCATTGCAAAAGTTAGCTTCGAGATCATACACACGTGTTACATATTTATAATTTTCTTGTTTTAAAAAAAGTTGTTACATATTTTATTAATTGGGTGGATCATTGTATTTAAACAAATGTTGGATGCAAATAAAAGGGAAAAGAAAACTACTGAAGCAAAGGATATGAAAAGATAAGATACAGCTCCTTTTTTGTGAAAAGGCCATGGTTCTTTTTCTTCTGTTTGATTTGCTTGAAAACAGATTCCTTCATGAATGGGATAAGAACCAACCTTTAGAATATTTTAACGTTTTCAATGTTTACTTTAGTGAACCACGAGAATCTGCAAAACGAACTTTGAGACCCTTGGTTTTTTAGACAGTTCACAATGTCTGTTTTTTTAAAAGGAATGGGAATATAAAGACCCTATTGTATTGCTTACACATTCAGATACATAAAACAAATTTGAAGTGGAAAACCTAGTGTATGCAGAAACAATACCATATATTGCTTTTGTATATTGTGGTAAGAGTTAGGTTCACCATAAAAAGACAGAGGACAAAAGCATGCTCACTAGAACACTTTTTATATAAGTCTTACTACTTTAGATACTAAAGTTTCAAGACAAGGGCTTTATTAGTTACAAAATTGTAGTTTACAATACAAATTTGATCATTTAACTATAGTAAATATGAACTAGAAAAAATCTAAAGAAAATTCACATATGTAAGAGTAAAGCACAACTTTAAAATTATGGAGGCCTCTAAGTTATTAACCAACTGATATGAGACTTTATTAACAAGATTTGAGAAAGTGAGTTCAATATACATATCTTGAAAAGGTAATGCTAATAGTTAGGTATAGAATTGGAACTTATGCTAAACCATTTTTTCAAAAGAAGTATTTAATTAAAACATACGTGTAGTGCGTCAATAGAGGCAGGGGGACAAACTTTATTCTCATTGTCAAGATTTGATTAGAATAAGATATAATCAAGATCTGATCATACGTATATATAAAGTGAAAATAAAGAACATTGAAAAAGTGAAAATAATGATAGTTAAGACCAATATTTATAATCAAATTTTAGGACTAATTTATGATTTTTTGGGTAATTACACAACGTTAAACAATTTTTTTTATTTTTCAATTCACTTTACCTACATGTTATGTGATTCGAACTAAAAAATTTATATTTCTCTCCTAGGACTAATCTAAGTCGTTGGCTAGGACTAATTTATGATTAAACGTTAAAAAGTTCTTTTTTACACGTTAAGCAGAGTTCAAAAGTTATAAATTATTAAATTAATTAAGTTAATTGTATTTAATTCAATTAGTTTGTGATGATTTCCAATCCAAAACCAGACAATATTAAGTGAGAGGGTCCATTCATTTGCATAAAAAAGCCATATGTGGACCTAAAATTTTGTTAATAAAATTAATATAGTTACAATATCACATAAAACAGTAAATTTATAATTGTAAGTGTCATTAAATGAGTGAATATATACAATATTATGAGTAAATAGAAACTTTAAATCAAAAAAGTCAATTATTTAATGACACGTTATAAATATAAGTTTAAAATATCATGTGACATTTTAATTATATCATGTTTATTACATGTGAATTTTCCATGTAATTTATGTAGCTTAACTGCTTATCAATAAAAATTTAACAGAGGGAGCAAAAATGGTTGAAAAATTAAACATCCTAAAAAGGGCATTTTTTCAGTTTGATGACCAAAAGGGGTTCCATATAATAGTTGGGGGACCAATTTAGGAGTTTTTAACCTTCAATCAATTCAAAATTTTGTCAGTATTTTTCCTTTTGCCTCTTCTTCGTCGGGGAATAGCAAGTGGGCCTTCAGAGACCATTTATGATTCAACCCATAAGTGGGCCTTTAAGGGCTCGGAATGAGAGCTGAAAATGTTGGTTCAGAACGGCGTCGTTGTAAAATAAAACACAGAAATATTTTAATTGCCAAATTGCCACAAACAAACATGTATTGGGATGCCGCAATGCATACCCTCCTTCAATCCTAGAATGATTGTGAATTTTTTATTTAATTAAAATTTTATAAATAATTTATGTTTATTTATATTATTTTTTTTTTAAAAAAAATTATGATTAAATGATTTATAAGTTAATAATGATAGGGTTTAAGTTTTTTTTAAAAAGAGCAAAAAAAACATAACAATTAATTTAAAATAAATTTAAAGTAAAAAATTGACTCTTACTTTATAATAAAGAGATTAGTTACAATGACACATTAAATTATAAACTAACAATTATAATATGTCATTAAATAAGTAAATATTTATAATATTATAATTAAATTTTTAAATAATGTAATCTAAAGTATATATTAAAAGTATAATGTATTATTTAAATTTAATAAAATAATATGAAAATTATTATATTCTATAGGAATTTTTTAATTTATATGTTTAGGACATACATTAAATTTCATTAAATACAATATTTTTAATTAATTTTACATAAATTTTTATATCAGATTCAATTAAAATAAAATATAAAATATAA